GCCCGAAAAGAAGGTCCAGCTTCCCGAAGTCCCACTATACGGCCCCTATCAAACTCACTAAGTTGACGAAATCGTTCAGGTCTCCGTACTCTAGGCATCGTAACCGATCGTAAAGGATGTCAAGAACCAAAATCCGCCAACGTTGATTCTTTACTGCGGCTGAAATATTCATTTTTAGAGCGTTAGTGAATTAAAAAAAAGCAATACAAAAACCGGAATGTCCAACTGATAAAGCTGAAAATTTTTTCACTTGTTATTTACAGTAAGATAAATACATTCACCAACTTTTATTAAAATAAAACCATTTAAACTGGGTGTTCGGATTTATACGTCACTTAGTAACAATGGTTTAATTTACACAGTCTGTGTGTCATAAAGTAAAACAAAAATAAGAAAAAAAAACACACAGAAAAGAGGAAGGCGCTTTAAGTAGAGAAAAAAGAAACTATAAATATGATCAGTAGATATTAGGAAACCAGAATATACTGGTATATACACAAATATCCATATACACATACATACACATACACACATATACGAGTATACACATATACAGGTATACACATATACAGCTATACACATATACACATAAATACATATATATATATATACAACAAATGAAAACCCCTAGAGAAAGGCGTAAAAAAAGTCAAAGATGTGAACGTATAGCACTTGTAATTCCTGTAATCCACAACAGAAGATATCACAAAAACTCAATCCTATTCGCATTATTGCATATAAAGTTTATTGGTGCTTTAGATGGAAGATTTGTCTGCGCCCTCTTGCAGTAAAAGGAAACTTTATATTTAGATGTCAGTCTAGGTACCAGGAAATTAATTTGCGATAGCGAAACAGGACAGTCGATGTTACCATGCAGTAATTTGTATAAAAATATGATGGACGCCTGCTGTCTGCGCTTTTGCAAAGAAGGGATGCCAAATCTATTCAGTAATTGTGAGTAGTCACATCCTCTTGGAGGATAGACACCATCACTCCTATAGCATAGATATTTTAGAAATTTCTTCTGCACTTTTTCAACATTAGTTTTGTGCAGTTTAAAGGTAGGACTCCAAATAATTTCACCGTATTCTAATTTACTTATAACAAGCACTGAAAATAACTTAATAAGCGTTGTGTTATTGAAATTTCTACAATTTCTGATAATAAAGATAAGATAATAAAGCGCATTACTTATAATTTCACTGATGTGGTAGTTAAAAGTGAGCTGACAATCGAAATAGACGCCCAAGTCTCTGAAAGTTTCACACCTTTCCAATACAGAATCATCTATTTTGTATGGGTAAGTTAAAAATTTGGCTTTCCGGGTGAAGGTCAAAATGCGGCATTTAGTTGTTCAAATACAAATTGTTATTAACACACCATGTTTGTAAATGAACTAGTTGTTGTTGGAGGTTTTCATAATCCTGCCAGCTAGAAACACATGCGTAAAGCTTCAGATCATCAGCAAACATAAGCTTCTTGCATGATAATGTGCTGCAAAGATCGTTAACGTATAAGGCAAGATAGACATGTGACATATCGCGAGGTTGAGGCGCCCTTGAAGATCTCAAGGACCTCAATTCAAAAAATTTTGCATGAAGAATTAGGAGTAAGAAAATTAGTTTCTCGTTGGATACCCCACCTGTTGACTGAAGAGCAGAAAGCAGCCAGGGTTAATTGGTGTCAAAAAACGCTTGACCGTGCCAATTCCGGATACTTAGAAAATGTGTACAGCATTGTTGGTGGTGGTGAATCGTGGATTTACTGTTATGAACCACAAAATAAACGACAGTCGGCTGTTTGGGTGTTCCAAGGTGAAGAAAAGCCAACAAAAGTCATCCGTTCTCGAAAAAGATGGTCGCGGCATTTGTGTCAAAGGCGGGTCATATTGCAACAATTTCTCTTAATGGGCAAAGAACTGTTACTGCGGATTGGAATACCACCATTTGTTTGCCAAAAGTCATCATCGAACTTCGAAAGATCAACCTCATAAGAAGAATCATTATCCACCAAGGCAATGCAAGCTCGCACACAGCCCAAAAAACAAGGCAGTATTTAACGAAAGAAAACGTGGAATTATTGGACCATCCTCCATATAGTCCCGATCTTAGTCCTAACGATTTCTTTACTTTCCCGAAAATTAAAAACAGACTGCGTGGTCAAAGGCATGCAGATATGTATTAATCTTCGTGGAGAATACTTCGAAAAGCTGTAAAGTCATTTAAAACTACCTACCGTGTTGTTTTATTTCCATATGCAAAACTTAAAAGACATCCCTCATATTTCTCAGCATAGTCTCCTTTTTGCTCGATATACTTGACCCAGCGGTGCTCCATCTTCGTTAACCCGTCTAAAAAGTACATTGTCTGGGGATCTGCATAGTAGGCCACAAATTTCTGACCGAAGAAATTTTTCTAAAATCCATGAACACGCCCGCTTGAGCTGAAATTTTGACAGTGGTCGTCTACGAGACTGTACTACTGTCTAGTAAGTTTCTTTTGCTATAGTAGCGTCATCGGGCGGCGAGACTAAGTACTTATCGGACCGCTCTCGTATAATGCTTATCGGTAAAAAGACTAGCTCTTATTCAGCTTAAGCTGCTTCTTGTAATACACAGAAATCCTCGCCATGTTCGGCAAATGTTTTATGCTCCGCAGACAATTACGAATTTAATATGAAATGTCAAACTATAGTTCGAACTTGAATCCTGACTGCTGAGTACATAATTTTGGGGACAAAGAAATTGTGTACTTGCACCGGACGTATGTCCTAAGAGTTTCGGCATAAAATATTTATCGATATTTTTTTCAAGAAGACATTCATTCAAACACCAACTAGTTATCACAAATTACAACTCAATACTAAACTATACTATCTAATTATCTGGAAAGGCACATTCTGCTCTACCAGACTCAGCTTTCTTCAAATGCCTGGACAGAATTCAGATCAATTTCTCTCAGTTGCTCATAAATTCGCCGTCTTAACTGTCCTCCATCTTGGGCTTCCCAGCCTCCATGACCTTCCTAGTCAGTAAAGCTCAAAAATCCTCTATTGGACGATTATCGTTTTTGGGAACAAAAGGTATGTTGTGATGTGTTTTGGTATCTCTTGAGTAATGGCATGATGCTAGGTATGGCCAAAAGATGATATGGTCATTAGCATGATGTTCGTGAACAAACTGAAGCAATTTGGAAAGTATACCTCTGCCTATTCAAAGCTTCACCCCTCACTGTTCTCACACAAGGTTGCGATGCACCCCTGTTAGAAATTGCGCACGAGACAAGGATTTTATCTGCCAATTTCGCTTTATGTTTGTATCTAATGTTATCAACGTTGTCAGCATAAAGTCCGTCGTTTTCCGTCATTTTTAACACAAGATCCCTGCTCCAACTGAGCTTGTCCATTTGAGACCTATTAGTTTAGTATGCATTCCATGGAAACTGTTAGAAAAATAGTTAATGTTCAGCATAATCAGTATTCACTACATCAAAGCATTCTCCCTAAGCACCAGTCGGGTTTTAGGGGAGGGCAAAATACAACCACTGCTCTTTTAAATCTTAATGATGAAATTATACGGTCGCTAGATAAGAGGCTTGCCACTCTACTTATATCCTTGGATTTTTCAAAAGCCGTTGACACCATTGACCATTCACTTATGTGCGGAAAACTGTATTATTATGGCCTTGCCCATACACCGTTGATCTTATTTTGCAATTTCTCAAGTCTCCGTAAGCAATGCGTTATTCTACATGACAAAAGATCTGAGATAACAAAAACATCAGGAGTTCCTCAAGGTTCTGTTTTAGGGCCGCTGTTATTCATTATATACACAGCTGACATCTTGAAATCCGTACACATTCAGTCTTATGCTGATGACACGCAGCTTCTGTTTCATTTTGAACCATCTCTTGTGGAACAGGCAAATGATTTAATCGACACTGACTTACGAACAGTATCTGACAATTGTTAAGAACACAATTTGAAACTAAATCTTGATAAAACGAAACCTGTGCTTTTCTGTTCTGATCGCATTTCAACTAGCTGTGAGATACTTTTGGTTTGATCATAGATGACAGGCTACGTTACCAACAATACATTAAAACAACGGGTAACAACATCCATGGGAATGTGCGATATACAGTAACCGTACGAACTTATTTGGTTATGTGATAGTTATAAGCCAGTTCATCGACAGTAACACTATTAACGATATTTAACCTCCGGCGGGCGCGCCTTGTCAACTCTCATGAGTGGGCGCACTGCGGCTTTTGCACCTCATTCAGAATTTTGACCTTTATGCTTTAGTTTTTAAAAAAAATTTACATTTATATTAAAAGTATAGCTGGTTATTATATTTGAAACCTTTTATTGAAATAAATACGGTGTTAATTTGAAATACACTCTAAAATAAACGGTCTCTAGCTTGCCACTCTACTTATATCCTTGGATTTTTCAAAAGCCTTTGACACCATTGCCCATTCACTTATGTGCGCAAAACTGTACCGTTATGGCCCTGGCCATACAGCGTTGATCTTATCTTGCAATTTCTTAAGTTTCCATAAGCAAAGCGTTATTCTTCATGGCAAAAGATCTGAGATATCAACAAAAACATAAGGAGTTCCTCAAGGTTCTGTTTTAGGACCGCTGTTATTCATTATATACACAGCTGATATGTTGAAATCCGTACACATTCAGTCTTATGCTGATGACACTCAGCTTCTGTTTAATTTTAAACCATCTCTTGTGGAACAGGCAAATGATTTAATCGACACTGACTTACGAACAGTATCTGACGATTGTAAAGAACACAATTTGAAACTAAATCTTGATAAAACGAAACTTGTTCTTTTCTGTTCTGATCGCATTTCAACTAGCTGTAAGATACTTTTGGTTTGATCATAGATGACAAGTTACGTTACCAAAAATACATTAACACGTTGACTGCGGGACTAATAATCCGTACTTTGGCGTTGACAGCGGTAGATATCGCCGGGGTATAGTCTATTACTAGATCTTTAGCTGGTTGTGTTCTAAATTCCATAATGCTCAGCTTTGTGTCAGAAACCATGTTATAAACAATCCACGAATTCACCTCAGTCGTGCCCAGTAGTAATTCAAACATAACCTTGCTGCAAAAAAAAATAAAATACTTATACATTAAATGTTATATATTTATATATGAAAGGACTTACCGATACCATTTTAGTGTTTTACGTACAACAATATGATAAGAGGACATTTGGTCACTGAAGTCGACACCCTTTTTCGCCATATTATAATCCATTACACACTGTGGTTTCAATATATCTTCCTCTTTACGATATTTTTTTTCCTATAAAAATCATCTTTCGGGAATCTTTGTTTTGAAAATAATTGTATTGTCCTTACCTGTGGGTACTAGTGTAGCATTATGAGCAGGATGTGTCGTGATCATAAAAACAGGTCTTTTGTCTACCCATTTAATAATTTTTATCTTGCTTTTCTCTTTGCCAATAACTTCACCTTTCTTATTCTTCTTTGTGAATTCTTTGGGAACCAACGGTATTCCGGAATAAATATTATCATCATATAATATTCGTCCTTCTTTTGGATTCACATCTTCCAGCAACTTCAATACAATAGATTGTGCACGTCCCAGCTCAGGTTGTGTATCGCCTTTACCAGTGTAAACCTTTAGTTTGTAAGTGTAACCAGAACTTGTACATAGCTTACAAAGTTTGACTCCATATCTATGTGTTTTATTGGGTATATACTGCCGGAAACTCAACCATCCTATAAACGGAATTATGGATTCGTCCTGGACTCAAAATTTGTTGATAAGTTTTTGACAGGAGTGAAATAAGAGGATCTATTTTGTACAGTCTATTTGTAGAATCGGCGGATTCGTTGTCAGAAAAATGGAAAAACCTTATTAGCAAAAGAAACCTGTCTCTTGTGAAAATCGATGAGATAAATTTAGTGAAATAAGGGCTCTTTCGACCAATATAAATTTATAGCAGGTACCTGCGTTAAGCCCGTTCCAATAGCAACACCCACAAATTTACGCATCTCGTTCTTGTTCGTGTTAGTCCAGGATTTAATTCTAGATTTACCTGAGTGACGTTTGGTTACTTGTTGAGTTGCATAACGATTTGTTTCCAGTACTAGCACGTCAATGATTTCGTCTGTTATGAGTCGCTCAAAAATGTCAATGCGCCTTTTAATTGTTTGTTGTCAAGTGTGCATTGTTCATTGTGAAGATCAAAATTTATAGATGAAGTTTTTATATCTTCCCATACATCCCTCAGATCACTGTCACAATCATTATCTTGTTCATTATTGAGCTAGTCACCACTACTCTCATCATTCGAATCACATTGATAAGTTTTGTCTTTCATCACTATCAAAGTCTTCCCATTCTAAGTCAGAATCACTACCGCCATCATTCATTTGTTTACTAGTACGCGTAACACCCGAGGGACCAGGAGAACTATAATCGTTTTGAGCGGAAAAGTCATTTTTAGTTAAAAACGTAGAGTCCGGGGAACTCTCCAGTTCCAAAGCATTACTTTCTTTAAATTTTCGTGCCTCTAATTCAAGCAGTTTTTCTGAGCGCGACATCATTGTCGGTAGCTTACGGTCAACTAAATATGGTTATTTACGAAATACACGTTCAAGAAGTATGCAAGTTGAAAATCGTTAATACAGGACCCCCGGGATATTTTTCGCACATAAGTTAATCTCGTATTAGTTGTGTGAGAAACATATCTCCCGGTATACGTAAGAAAATTTACGCTTCATATGAAACTAGGTATCATAAGGATCAGAAAGCTATCTATAACATTGAAATCATTAGAAAAATAACGTTTTCGCGACTAACGCGCTTGCATCGTATTTTGATTTAAGTCACTCCCGTCTCCTAGAAAAAAATTTCACATATCGCCGGGGGCATGTAACGCAGTCAACGTGTTAAAACAACAGGTAACAACATCCATGGGAATGTGCGATATACAGCAACCGTACGAACTTATTTGGTTATCTGATTGCTATAAGCCAGTTCATCGACAGTAACTCTATTAACGTAAATTGATGGGGCGGACATGTTCATTTCCAGTTCCTACAAAGTAGCCGGAACTATTTCACCTAAAATTACGCCAAAATTACAACAATCGAAAACTCTAACGTTATAACTGCAATTTCGCGTCGAGTGGACACGTCGCCATAGGCAATTCACCAGCAACAATTGAGGCTGTTATTGCAGGCAACAGCGCGGAAAGCCACATAGAACTGACCAATAGTCCGTCTGCTTGTTTATTATTCCATGGCCGGCCGCGTTAGCATTACAAATAGGCGCAACTGGCAACGCAACGGGATCGAGAGGCGGCGGTATTTGTTCCAGGCGACGCAGCATTGCCAACAGTTACGCCGGAACGCGTTTCCACATTTGCATTGATACTAGCTGGACGGCGATGGAGGTTGATATTCGGACGCGTCCACAACAACGAAACGGCTGAATTTCCGATGTACAGAAATGCTGATTGACTTACATCTACAAGCAGGATTGTAGTAGCTGCTTCTTGCTCGGGGCGCTGCGTATTCAGATGTCAAACAGAGTGTAAATGTTATGGTGGTAGTCATTATTGAAATGGGTAATAGCGGGGGGTCAAAACAAGTCAAAAGGTTCATATTACCCATGGTCCAAAAGTCAATAGATTTTTGCCTAAATCGCTTTACAGTTTACAACTTTAAGTGCTTCATATCGACCACAATCTTACTAAATTTCACAATCTAAACTAAAACGTTTTTAAATTGGGTAATTAACAAATAAATGGCATTAAGTTTTTCTAAGTTAAGCCAAAATTTGTAGTCAGTAAGTAAGTAAGTTTCATTAAATTGAATATACAGTGTCAGTCTTCATATAGTGCACATAGCAAAATCAAGGAACCTACACCTTATTTTATTAAATATAAAAATTAAAAACAATAATTGATTTTTTATGAATATTTAAAAATTTTTAGAGTCAGCTGCTAACCCTATTTAAATAAATCGTTACAACTTTTAAACTGAATGTCCTATCATATTGGAATAAATTTTGTAGTGATTGCAAATAATAGGCCGTACCAGTAAAGTGAAAATTTCCACAACATTAAATGCTATAAATTTAAAATAAAGAGGAATATGCTGAAACTCACTATTTTTTCAATGATTTTTAAAACAATTGCTAAATTTCAATAAAAATTGTCCTATTTACCCCACCTTTTTTAAATGTTAAGTTATTCTACATGTTATTAGCTTCCTAATGGTGAAAAATTGCAAGTTTATTACTTAGATACAAGTTTTTAAATCAGCGTTTCAAAAAGCAGTGAACTCAGTACAACGCCAGAGTAGGAATAGAACAACAGTATTAACCTACATGAATCACTCATTATCTTCAACAAATAAAATTAAATAGACTTGTCTATAGAATAATCATTTTGGCTTAATGCATCAAATGTTCAAAATGGCCACCCCGTTGCTGCAAACACATTGTAGCGCGAAGTGAAATTTGATGAGTTGCCCTACGAATCATCTCGGGATCATTTTTGATTTCGTTTGCAATACGCAAAACTCTTTCTTCAAGTTCCGCTTCGCTGTTTATGGAACTGCTGTACACCCTCTGTTTCATTGTCCCCCATAAAAAATAGTCGAGAGGTGTGAGATCTGGGGAACGCGCCGGCCACCCAACAGGTCCTTGTCGACCGATCCAGCGGCCTGGATAATTTTCATTAAGAAAAGACCTGACAATCAGCGAGTAATGGGCAGGTACATCCATCCATTTGAAGCATCATTCTTCGACGGGTTTGCAGCGGCACTTCTTCCAACAGCAAGGGCAGTTCAGTCTGCAAAAGCTCCAGAAATCTCTCTCCGTTTAATGTCCTCGGGAGTATTATTGGACCAATCAAAAAGTTGTCAGTCAGTGCGGCCCACACATTTATAGAAAATTTCACATGAAATGTTGAAGCCCTTTTCAGCCTAGGGTTTTCATCTTTTGGGCACCACTTATGTAAATTACGACAGTTCACGATGCCGTTTTTCGTGAATTGAGATTCATCTGTCCTCAGAATTGTTTTCGAGAATTCAGGACTTTCTCTTGTTTTTATTAAAATCCATGTAGACATAACGCACCTTGGACGCCAATCCACATCTTCATGCAAGTGCTGCACCCTTTGATAATGGTACGGATGCAACCCTGCTTTCTTCAAGATGCGCCAAACTCATTTCTGGGATACGCCATGACGTAACGCCAAACCTCTCGTACTAGTAGTCGGGTCAGCAAACAAATCATCCAAAATGGCTTCTTCGATAGCGACATGAATAATAACACCTGGTTCGCGGCGATCTCGAGGCATACCAAGTCCAGTGTTAGCCAGTCTTCTATATACTTCTTGGAAGTTACGGGCTGATGGAACAGGGCGTCGATTTGGAAATGCAGCTAGATAAGCTGTGCATGCAGCTCTAGCACTCCCTCGGTACATTCCATAATAATAATGGATATCGGCAATGTGTGCCGGAGGGAAATCACTTATACGTGGCATCGCGACCAAAAAGCGAAAGCGTGATATTAGCAAACGAAACTGATAAAGTTGGAAGGAGAAACACAAATAACTGCCTAACTGCCCAACATTCAATTGTTTTTCAACTGGGCCCGCCTCCCCACTCGTACTTCAGCCCGCGCGGCTCTACATTGAATCACCAAAAAAATGTATCTACATGATAGACAATGGTGCCTAGCAAGACGATGCGCATGGGCTTTTTTATAAACACTCATAGAAACTGTTACATTTGAGTAATAAACGTGCAATTTTTACTTTTATAAAGTTGATAACATGTAGAATAACCTACAAATAAAAAAAGGTAGGGTACAAGGGACGATATTTATAGAAAATTTGGAATTATTGTAAAAATGATGAAAAAAAAAACAGATTTTCATCAAAATTTTCTTTATTCTAAATGGATGTCATTACTTTTCCTGGAATTCTTCACTTTTCAGGCACGTCCTTTTACCAGCAATTACTACAAAATGTATTCCAATATGATAGAACATTTAGTTTAAAAGTTGTAACGAGTTATTTCAATATGGTTAGAAGCTGCTACTAAAAATTTTAAAATATTCATATATTCATAAAAAATCAAATTCAGGTTTTTTTGATGATTTATCCGTCGATGAAATAGAGTGTAGTTTCCCTGATTTTGATATGTGCACTTTATGAAGACTCACACTGTACAAAACACACATGACAACAACGCGTCGGTCTTTCATCACTCTTATCGATCCGGCAATCGATCGCAAACGATAACAGTGGTCATAGTTATCGTTTTGCATAGACAAAAAGTGTTCGTTTGTTTTTGTTAGCGTACGTCGTCGTGTTTATTCACAATGCACCTTAGGCAGTTCAAAAAACGTATTAATAAAATTTCTTTGGGATCATCATAGCAGCCGCGGTGTTCCGGCATTTAGGCTTCTGCCCGCGCGGCTGCTTTGATATATATAAAAAAAAATGTTCTCGAATGAAGAGTTCACCGACATGTTGTTAGTTTCCGGTGAAGCTCGGCAGAATTCAAATCTTGCAGCTCAAATTTATCGCGACAAATTTCGCCAACGGGTACACCCAGACAGAAGGACATTTGTGCAAGTGTACCAAAGACTTCGGGATACAGGAAGTGTTCAGCCCACTAATATTCGCACTCGTGAATGACAGGTTACTGTAGAGCAGGAGGAACAAATTTTAAAAATCGTGGAAATCAGTGCATATATCAGCACTCGGGAATTAGGCCGCCGCGTAGGACTATCGCATACCACAGTCCATAGAATCCTACGGGAAAATTTGCTTTATCCCTACCATGTACAACGAGTGCACGCCTTGTTAGCAGAATACTATCCTCGCAGACTAACATTCTGTCAGTGGTTATTGCACAAAAACATTGAAAATCCGGTTTTCTTAAAAACATTCTAGTGACGGACGAATTTGCTTTTACGGCGGGTATTCTTGACGATCAAGTAACTGACCCTTTCGAGTTACCCCAAACTT